GTTGCCCCTACCTTTGCCTCTCGTTCCCTGTAGAACAGGACTGAGTTTCTTCCTTCAGGACCGCGCCCGCTCTGCCGAGTGCCCGTGGGCTCTCGTGGCCCCCGGTGCGGTGCTTCCGGCCACCTCGGGACCAGCGCCCCCTCCGCGCCCCGCGTCGCTGCAGCGCGCCCTTTCCTGGGCGGGGGGCGCCCACTTCGTAAACACAGCTCTGTCGGGGTGAGCCAGAGGCGGCTCGGAGCGGGCGTGGCGGACGCCCGCCGGCCTGAAGTACTCCGTCTGAGGCTTTAAGAAGGGCTTGCCGGGCACCCACCCATCCCAGAGCCCAGCGCGCCCGCGCCCCAGAGACAGCCAGAGGTTCCAAAGGCGCTTTCACTGGGAAGTTGCTCCTTCTGCTGTCTTTTGTCTCCGAATGAATGTGTCTTCCTGCTTTTAATTCTACTTTGAAGGCTAGTTTTTTGTTTCATCCACGTTATTTCTTCTTGAATATTTATAATTTACAAGAGTAGTATTTAACTTAAAATATAACCCTAAAGTTTAATGGCTGTTTTTATGCACACAAAACTACAGACAAGGGGAGCATCACCCACCTATGCACACCTCAGGGACTCCCTGTCTACTTCCAACCACCGTGTACCTTGAGCATCTCCTTTCTCCAGCACACCCCTCACAGGCCCGTCCCCTGGACAATTTGAAAGTGATACTTGTACCCTGGCTAGGAACCATTTGGTGTCAGTGGTTAAGAGGTGTAAGATATAACTGATGCATTTATGGGGTAACCCCATGCATTCAAAGAGGGGGTGAACAGTAGGCTCATGACATGAGCTGCAGCATCGCTTCTGTGTTGCCCTTTGGAATGTTCCGACCAACCACCTCAGATCTCCCCACTCCAGCTGCACAGGCAGACCCGATGAAGCACCGTTCACCTCAGTCACTATAATGATTACTCGAGCATGTGAACAGAACCAGAAGTACTGGAAATGGTACCATGCTGGGTGGAGTCGGATCTCCACTCAGATTCCCTTTACTGGACGGCACTGTCAGCCCCACCTGCAGCGACACACTCCCCAGGCTCTAAAGAGCTGCTCTGCTGACAGCAGCAACCTGACAGACTACAGGCTGCCGGAATGTCTGTGAGTCTCATACTGAAAGGGCCCCACGTCCAGAGTTCATAGAGTACTCTGAAACGCCAGCAGCGAAAACCAGCCCTGTCCAGAAGCGTGCGAAGGGCGTGCACAGACATTTCTCCAAATGCACGCAAACTGCCAGCAAGTACTTGGAAACGATGCTCAGCATCGTTAGTCCTGGGGAAACGCACATCAAAACTGCAGCGAGGCACCACTCACACCCACTGGATGGACACCGTGAAGAGCCGGAAAGTAGCAAGCACTGGAGAAGGCGTGCAGAAGCTCGAGCGCGCTGCTGCTGGCGACACACAGCACTGACGCAGCCGTGGGAAATGCTCGGGTGATTTTTTTATGAGGTTACGTAGGAACACCACACGACGGCAATTTCACACCTATGCGTGTGTCCGGCAACGTGGAAAGCAGGGACTAGACAGATACTTGTGCGTCCGTGTTCACAGCAGCATTACTCACAACAGCCAGAAGGGGGAAGCCACCCCAGCGTCCATCAGCAACCGAATGAATCAGCAAAATGTCATATACGCATGGAATGGAGCAGACTGCAGTCACAAGAATGAAACTCTGACATCTGCCACAACGTGGAACAACTGTGAAAACACCATGCTTAGTTGCAGAAGGACAAATACTGTATGATTCCACTGACGTGAAGTACCCAGCACGGGCAAGTCCAGAGAGCCAGTAAAACGGAGCCCTGGACTGGCGGAGAGGGAGGGGCAACTGATTCTTCTAATAAAGCCAAGTCTTGGGTATGGAGGCCGGGGGTGGCTGCACAATTGTGGCTGTGTTTAATGCCACTGGGTCGCACACTGTAGAACGGTTAAAATCTTAAGTATGATGTGATGCACGTTTTATAAGGACAAACACTTATAAAGTGGGCAACTGGCCAATGATGAGTAAATACAGGAATCATGGATGGGATGGAAGGTGACTTACATAGTTACCCTTTCAAGAGTGATTTCAACAAGTCAGGAGCAGAACCTAGGAAATCTAGGACCCCTAAGGAGCAGCAGGAAGGGGCTAGACGTGGGGAAACATGCAGCCGAAACATGCACGATCTGTATCAACCAGAGATGAGACCCTAAAACAGTGATATAGAAAGTGAGAACAGAATCCAGCACGTAGAAGATGACACAGGTGACCACCAGCAGCAGGACGGTGTGGGTGGCTCTGGTCTCCAGGGGACATCTGTGGTGGCCAGTGGGGGTGTGGATGCGCTGCACTCTCTGGTGGTGTCTGTGCAGGAGAAGAACCGCGGAGCCACCGGACCAGACCACGTGGCCAATAAACATGGCATCAGGAAATGACCACAGGACGACAGCGCCTGCACTGAGTTGAGGCTGAACAGAACCACATCCCTTGGGTGTCAGTGTCACTTCCTGTGCTCTGTGGACCCGTGACTGTCACAAGAATATAGACATTCATTAAGACACTGATCATCCAGCAGGTGCAACAGGAAGGACCAATGAATGACCTTGGGGGCTCTTCCTCTGAGCACCACCCACTCCACCGTCCTGGGGATGAGAGTGACAAGCTGATAGGTGCTCAGGACACAGGTGGAGCACAGGCTGCTGCTGCGGGCCACTCTCTGTATATAATATACAAACTTACACCCAAGGCTGGACAGGGGCTTCCTCAGAACAGAAGTAGCCATTGTGTGGGGAATCCCAGAGGAGAGAAGAACCAGAGATTTGCTACAACCTTGTGGGTGAGAATCGTGTCTGTGGGTCTTCTCTTGTGTCCAAACAAGACATGAGAGAGGCTGCAGGGGAGAAGAGTGACACTGGCCAGAGACCCAGGCATCATCTGTAACAGAAAGGTGGTTTTCACGGTCATGCTACCCACCCCCCACCCGGTTCCTCAGCTCATTTTCGTGAAAAGACAGAGAGGGTTCGGGGGGCCCGAGCGACAGGAGGCCGTGCTGGTGACGACAGCAGTCTTCTTCCAGAACCAATGTTGAGAAAGGGTTCTCTTTTCCAGTCCCTAGAGGGCAGACGCTGTCACACTCCACAAGAGGGGCCCAACCTCGAGAACATACACGTGACCGC